GACTTGGACACCAGACAAATGACACATCAAACAGCTAAAGGCCTTTCATATGTTGCTTCTGTGGGGGATCTGCTTGTAGGACACAATTACCAACCTGGAGGTAGGGATGTTAGCAGTAGTCAACTGGAGTATTAATAACGATAACCTTCTAAAAAAACACCTTATGTTTTTGTGCTCACATCTCTTCTCTGTGGCTGAGAGACTTGGACACCAGACAAATGACACATCAAACAGCTAAAGGCCTTTCATATGTTGCTTCTGTGGGGGATCTGCTTGTAGGACACAATTACCAACCTGGAGGTAGGGATGTTAGCAGTAGTCAACTGGAGTATTATCAAATCCTCTCCTCTCCCCTTGGGTAGAAATTGCTCTGGCAGCAGCCTCTGTCTGTGGCCATCCCTGGTTACTGCGACCAGGGGCTGCTGGACTCAGTGCGAGCTGGGACCGAGCAGTCCCGGCCCATGCTGGTCCGGGACACTGCACTTCTGCATTTGAAATGTATTGAGATCCTGGTGGCTTTTGTGACATTTGAAATGCAGAGCCACAGCACGGGTAGCTCCCAGAGTCAGCATGAGCTGGGATTGCTCAGTTCTGGCTCGAGCCAGCTCCTGGACCTATCCCCGCTGCAACTCTGCAGAGCGGTCCTTATCGACTAGTCGTGTAATCCAGGGGTGGCCAACCAAAACCTGAGAAGGAGCCAGAATTTAATAATGCCAAAAAGCAACAGTTCTATGTCACCAGCCCTGATCATCTCCCCATCACCCCTCTCAGCACATGCCATCCACCAGACAGTGCCTCCTCCTCCTGATCCTCCTGCCCACTGGGATCAGCTCTTTCTCAGTGGGAGACACTGGAGTGTGGAAGCATGGGTGTGCCAGGCTCAGTGGAGAGGGTAGGAAGTGGCAGGATCCTAGGGGGAAAGGGTGAAGGGGGACAGTGCCTAGGGCAGCACTGGGGGTTGAACAGTGAACACCCTCCAGCCCAGTGGAAAGTTGGTACCTGTAGCTCCAGCCCTGGATTTGGTACCTATGCAAGGAGCCACATAGTAACTTCTGAAGAGCCGCATGTGGCTCTGGAGCCACAGGTTGGCCACTTCTGGTGTAGTCGATCCATATCGACTACATAATTAGTCAAATAACTGCAGTTTAACATCCCTACCTGGATGGTCTCCAAAAGTCAAATGCCCTAAGCATTGAGACCATGCTCACAAAAACTAAATTACACTGGGTTAGACTAAGGATGTGAATGGGTAACCAATTACCCAGTAAGCATCACCCTTAACGGTCAATGGGTACCCAGGAGCAGCTCTCGGCCCGCCTGCCCTAGCCCCGAGGGCTCCATGTTTTACCCTTCTGCTGCTGTGGTTCCTGGAAGAACCCTGCATTTCCACAGATACAGATTCATATCCATGGATATCTACAGGGCTCTACACATTGAACACAAGCTTGTCTTTTTAATTTTTTTATAACATATTTTCGTAACATAGTACCTTCCTACCAAACTGGCTTTGTAACTTGTAATGTTAACCTCCACATCTAGAAACATAAAAGTGGCTATACTGGATCAGACTAATGGTCCATCTAGCCCAGTAGCCTGTGTTCCAACAATGGCAAATGCCAGGTGCTTCAGAAGGAATGGACAGAACAGATAATCCTCAAATGACTGTTCGCTATCACCCGTTCCCAGCTTTTGTCAAATAGAGCAGTGGTGTGCAACCTGTGGGTCACAACCCCCTCGGGTGTTGCTGCGCCGTGCCAGCCGCCATTTTGTTTTCCTGCTCAACCAGATTTTTCTTGGCCCTGGGGGTAGCGAATTAAAAAAGGTTGAGCACCACTGAAATAGAGGCTTAGAAACACTTCAGAGCATGGTTTTGCATCCCTTCCCATCCTGGTTAATAGCCTTTGATGACTTCTCCTCCATGAACTTATCTAGTTCTTTTTTGAACTTTCTCATGGTTTTGGCCTTTACAGCCTCCTCTTGGATGAGTTCCACAGGTTGATTATGTGCTGTGTGAAGAAATACTTGCTTTTCATTGAGTTAAACCTGCTACCTGTTAATTTCATTTGACAGCCCCTAGTTCTTGTGCTATGAGACGGAATAAATAACACTTCTTTACTTTCCCCCACCAGTCATGATTTTAAGACCTCTATCTTATTTCGCCTTAATTGTTTCTCTTCCAAGCTAAAATGTGCCAGTTTTATTCATCTCTCTTCCTGTGGAAACTGTTCCACACTCCAGTCATTTTGGTTGCTGTTTTCTGGACTGTTTCCAATTCCAGTACATCTTTTTTGAGATCAGGTGACCAGATCTGCATGTAGTATTTAAGGTGTGTGCATACCGTGGATTTTTATAGAGACAATATAATGTTTCCTGTCTTATTCTTTATTTTTTCCTTAATGGTTCCCAACATTTTGTTCGCTTTTTCGATTATCGCTGCACATCGAGTGGATGTTTTCAGAGAAGTATCCAAATGACTCCAAGATCATTCCTGAGTGGTAACAGCTCATTTAGACACATCATTTTATATACATATTTGTGATTGTTTTCCAGTGTGCATTACTTTGCTTTTATCAACAGTGATTTTTATCTGACATTTCATTGCCCAGTCACCTAGCTCTTTGAGATCCCTATGTAATGCTTCACAGTATGCTTTGGACTTAAATATTTTGAATAGCTTTGTATCAGCTGCAAATTTTGCCACCTCACTGTTTACCCCTTTTTCGAGATCACCTATGAATATGTTGAACAGCACTGGTACCAGTACAGGCCCACAGAAGACACTGCCATTTACCTCTCTCCATTGTCCTCAATACAATTGATAACAATAACTGTAGGTTTAAGTGGTAACAGCTGAATGTGTTTCAAATAGCTGACTGTACAATGCAATTACCTCTGTTCTTCTCTAGTGAGGAGCTTGGTATGGACACAGAAAGGCTAAACAATAGGGTGCGTATTCCTTTGTGCTACTAGATTCTCAGGCCAGCTCTACGCTGGACCCAGAAGATCGGATTAAGCTACCATAAGCCGAGCTTGGCACCATCTTCGCGTTAGGAGGCCAATGCGAGCAAATGCTCCCGTTGGCTTCCCTTATTCCTCACAACTGTGAGGAGTACTGGCACATCTTCAGCATTTGACTTAATAAGTCTTAACTAGACCTGCTACATCAAATGCCAGGAGATCGAACTCTGGCACGGCAAGTGGAAAAGTGGTTTAAGCCTATACCACATAGCTGCTCCCTTAAACATCTTTACATTTTTTCCCATGCTGTTTTTTATGTATGCTTTTCTTTAATGAGTTCTCCATACAGCCATTTCAGGTTGAACCTCTGTAAACTGGGACACTCTGGTCCAGGAACAGGACCAGATTTTCTTGGTGGAAGGCTGGTGCCTAGGAGCCCTGCGGACTGGCATGTGCAGGGTTAGGAATGTAGATCACCACACCTGAGAAGCTGGGCGTGTGCCAGCGGGGCTGCCCAGCAGGGTTGGGAACCTGATGCGCTGCAGCGGGGCTGCTCAGCTAGGCTGCTCAGAGTGCCCCAGCTGGGCTGCCTGGAAGCGCCGGAAGCCCAGCACGCTACAGCAGAGCTGCCTGGAGGGGCTGGAAGTGGCATGCCTGAGCTAGGCTTCCCAGTGTGCCCCAGCTGGGCTGCTTAGCAGGGCAGGAGCCCGGTGTGGCAGGCAAAAGAGGGGTGGGGATCAGCAGGGCAGCGCCCTGAGGCGGAA